TTTTTTTGTTAGTATATTAAGAAGTGAAAATAAAAATATTCTATTGGATCAGTTTTTTGAATAAATTGTTATAATTCCACCGGATTATGTGTATAAATATATCCTCCCTAATATAAGCATTAGAGCAGAAAGGTTCTTTCTTCGCAGTTTCGTACCAGTAAGCAAAGTATTGGGTGGAGTGACAACTTGCTAAGAGAGGCAGGAAGTCGATGGATGCAGGTGGCACAGAACCACGTTTTGTGGCTTGCCACGGGACAGGCCTATGCTCATTAGTGGACCTATGATGGGCATTAATGATGACGATATCAATATCGTATATAATTGTATTAACGTATATAAATCATCATTGTTTTATATATTTTGCCAGGTATAAAATTAAAATGCAACTGAGGAGAGCAGCTTTGATTTACTTTGACAACATTTCGTTTTATGTGGTAGAGTCACAGAAGTACTAACTGCAGCACCAATGGGTTGGCTCAGCCATAAATGCTGCAAACCACCTGAAACGGAATTAAAAAATTAAATAAAAGATGTTAAAATCAATTAGCTAAGATCGGCGTACTTAAAAATGTGATGAATCTTACTTAGTTCTAGAGCATCTCCCGCCCTCCACAAATTGCGTGCACTGTCCCCGTCACCACTACTTCCAACACCACAACAGCCTCTAAACAAGAATACATCTGGTGAAAAAGATCTCGGTGTCTGACCACTAAGTGAGCGAGACAAAAACTGCTGTTGAAACTAGGTAAGGCACATAATTTTTATAATTAATGTTTAACAGCATTAATATAATGGATTTCCGTAATTAACAAATAATTACATTTATTAAATTTAATTAAAATGAGTTAAATAGGTAAAATAAAAAGCGATAAAATCAGTTAATGTAGTTTTATTTAATGTGTAGTATTCATGTAATTATAAGAATACTTTAAGTTGTTAATACTTTAAAAAGTTGGCTCGCATTATTTCAAGACCAGAGGGGCGCTACTTATAATATCTACTGTCATAAATGACACTATATAGTTGTAACTGATCTTAACGAAGGACAAATTACCTCGTAAAGTTTTCAAGCCGACAAAATTCCGAGGTATTTCAGTTGTGAAAATGACTGACGAACGTGACCTCAAAACCCTCGTAATTGCCAATAATCCGGACCGCGTCCGCCGGTCGACCTGCAGTTTAACGCAATGTCAGCGAAAATATGATCAATATATTCAGCAAAGCGTTTGTTTGTAACACAAGTGTCAATATAATGATTTCTTATATTTACGCGAACACTACACATTGAATAAAACTATTTTTACGGATTTTATCGCGTTTAATTTACTTATTTTATATTCCCGACGCTTCGGTTGCTTTCCAGCAACCGTGGTCACGGGGGACTGAGGTGATTGACGTCCCGATGTCAAAGTTAAAACGTCGGGAATATAAAATAAGTAAATTAAACGCGATAAAATCCGTAAAAATAGTTTTATTCAATGTGTAGTGTTCGCGTAAATATAAGAAATCATTATGTAAACCAGTACGGACTAGAAATAGCAAATAAAATACGCCGACTAGAAGATCTCAAAACCAAGCGCGCAAGATACATAACAGCTTTAAACTTCTTGAAGAGATGCAGAGACCATAATCTCATTCCTACGTGTGTCAAGATATCTACTAAAAAAGACATTCGAGGAAGCGCTAAGATCTTAAATCAGGCAAGCAAAAAATTGTTAATAACGGTGATTCAGCAAAAACGTACCGATCTATGTTTCATTAATAAAACCATAGACAAATCGTCCAGTGATCTAAAGACAGTTTTATCGACATTTGATTATAAGAATTGCATGGAAACTTTAGACAAACGTGAAACAACTAAATACAATGAATGCAAAAATAAACATATAGATAAATACCAAAAACTAACAACCAAATCAAATGTCCAACGCCAATGTCAACGTAATAACGGAACGCAATCATTGACAACAGACGCGAGTAATAAACAACGTGCGGTCTATAACCTGTCAAAACAATCTCTAGACGACGCGACGATAAAAGTTCTGGCCAAAGGTATGAATTTCGCTATAACACCGCGAAAAATTCCGTATGAAAACATTATCTGTAGTGTTGAGGACTGTCTGTATAAAAATAATATTGGTAAAGAAGATTTAGAGGCTATACGTCAAGACATTTCGTCCTTGTTACGTCGAAGCTCAGCGCCAAAATTAAATCTTCCCAAAGATGAATTTACTGCATTGAAAAACTTACGCAACAGACCAGATCTTACGATTCTCCGCGCAGATAAAGGTAATGCTACGGTTATAATGGATACGTCGGATTACAATTTTAAAATACAACAACTTTTATCGGATGAAAGTACGTACGTAAAGGTCAAAACAGATCCTACAACTAATATGCTTAAAACAACTAGCGATCTAATAAAGAAATACTCCGAGAAACTGAATCTAGACGTAAATTCGATAATACCTACGTGTGCCAAACCGCCGAAGTTGTATGGGTTACCAAAAATACACAAACCGAACGCTCCATTACGTCCAATAGTGAGTCAGATCGATTCGCCAACTTACAGATTGGCTCAACACTTAGCAAAAGTACTATCACCACTCAGAGGACATACAAGAGCACACACTAAGGATTCATACCATTTTGTCAGTGAGATAAAAGACCTATGTCTTACTGACAATGAAACTATGGTCAGTTTTGATGTTCAGTCTCTATTTACATGCCTACCTGTTGAAGACTGCATCTCAATTATAACTAGGAAACTAGAGGAAAACAACATGCCAGCAGAATATGCAGTATTACTCAGACATTGCCTTACATCTGGCTACCTATTGTGGAAGGAACAGTTTTACAAGCAAGTAGATGGTGTTGCGATGGGCTCACCGGTATCTCCCATTGTCGCCGATATTTTCATGGAGGACTTTGAGGAGAAAGCCCTGCTTACTGCACCAGTAACTCCAAGTTTCTACAAGCGGTACGTAGACGATACTTTCACAATTTTACCATCAGACAAAGTAACTGCATTTTTAGAACATCTTAATTCCATAAACTCTAAAATTCAATTTACTATGGAGTTAGAGGCAAATAATTCTTTAGCTTTCCTAGATGTGTTAGTCATTCGAAATCCTAATAACACCGTAGGTCACACTGTGTATAGAAAAAAGACCCATACAAACCGATACTTAAACGGTGAATCCCACCATCACCCTTCACAGTTAGCTACCGTGGGCAAATCTTTGTTGCAGAGAGCACGAGGGATCTGTGACAGCAAACACCTGGCCGCCGAGCTTCAGCACGTCAAGCAGGTTCTGCACGACAACAAGCTTCGGGTTCCGCGCCTACGTCACAGTGACCGAGTGAAGCCGGCCACAGTCGAGCGTGTGCCTACTGTACTACCATATGTCAGAGGTGTCACAGACAAGATTGGCTACATCTTGAAGCGAGCTTCTATTAGAACATTCTTCAAGCCGCCGAAGAAGATTTATTTATTTATTTATTTATTTAACAAGTACACTTACAATATACATATATGACATTGTCACAAAAACTTACACACTTTTATATTTCCTGATATGCATATCAATTACAAGTGTACATAACATTTACAGACTGAGTCGTGCAACATAATTTAGAATTAATTTGAGGTAGGAAAAACATATAATCAATACAATAAAATGAGAAATAATTTAAGTAAACTATGTTACTAAATAGGTAAAAAAATCAAATGGAAAAAAAATAAAAGAAGTATGTACATTTTTAATTTAAGTATAAAATAGATTCTATTAAAAATATAATTTTTAACAGGAACTAATTAACTAGGCGATAAATGCCTAGTAAGTTTAATTTTGAAGATCTTAAAAGAGTCGTGAAATATATCGATGCTAGGTATGGTTTTAGTTATTTCGTTATATTTGCCACATATACGAACAATAGGAGCATGATTCCCGAGATGAGTTTTAGTGAAAGGAATATAAAATGTTTTTAAGATGCGACAACGGGGATATTTACGCGGAACAGCTAACAATATGCGACCAAGAAGGTCACTGCACTTAACTTTATTGTGTACTATTTTATGTAGAAAACACAGATCTAGAATGTCTCGTCTATTTCGGAGAGACATTATCTTAAACTTAGCCAGTCGCTGATAGTAAGGCTGCCTATGTGAGATACCACTGGCATGGAAGGCAAGATGTCGTGTGAAGGCACGCTGTACACTTTCGACCCGTTGGGAGTGCACACTAAAAGATGGATTCCATATGACACTAGCGAATTCAAGGTGACTTCTTACAAAAGCATTGTATAAAGCTCTTGGCTTTATCATTAGATCATGTTTCAGTTTCCGTAATTTAAAATCTATTAAAATTTTGTATTGTTCACTTGTTCGAAGTAATCTGGAATATGCAAGTCAAATATGGAATCCTCAGTACAATATTTACGTTAATAAAATTGAATCCATCCAAAAAAGATTCATCAGATATGTGTGCTCAAAATTCCGCATTCCCAAAGAAAACTACGAGCTGCTGTGTGGTCGTCTTCACCTTCTCCCTCTGCAAACTAGACGTTACACAGCAGACCTGGTTTTACTATCAAAAATCGCCCAGGGCCACATAGACTGTCCAGACTTATTAAAGAAATTACTCATCTCAACCCCCACTCGTTCACTACGTTGTAACAATCTCTTACACATACCTTCTTATCGCACTAACTACAGACGCAATTCCTTCTTTATAAGAGCATCTAATTCATTTAACAGACTATCTAAAGACTATGATAAGGTGGACCTTTTCTGTACCAACAGTTCTGCCATTTGTAAATTAATCACCTCCAATTTTAGCAACAGTCAACAATTTAATAACAATCAATAACTTAATAACATTAGTTTGAACCGGCAGTAAAGTGAATTTGTTATTTATGTATGACTATTGTTTATCTATATGTGAAAACTTTTTATTGGCTTAGATTGTAATTTACATGTATGTTATATTTTGTTAAGATTAAGCTGTTAGTTTTCCAGTAAATAAATAAATAAATAAATAAATAAATAAAATAATTTTAGTCCTAGAAGAAAACCCTTTTGTATTGCGTTTAATAAATCCTAAGAAATTCGCGGCTTTATTAACAATAATGTTTATATGAGATTTAAAGGTTAGCTTCCTGTCAATAGTTACTCCTAAGTCTTTAATTTCCGGTAACTCTTGCAAAACTACATTACCAATTGAGTAACTAGAGACAAGTGGTTTTTTTTTTCTGGTATATTTTACGTGGAAGCATTTGTTAGCATTAAGAGTCATACTATTGACCTCACACCAATGAGATATTCTATTCAGATCATCCTGTATGAGCTTTATATCCTCTACTGATTTTACTGGTTTATAAATTTTTAAATCATCAGCAAATAACGAGCAACGACAATTTTTGATTTCTGTGGTGATGTCGTTAATAAAAGCCAAGAATAATAGAGGGCCCAGATGCGAACCTTGAGGCACCCCGGATTGAGCTCGATACATTTGAGACTCGAAACCATTGACAACAACAATTTGAGATCTATTCTCCAGATAAGATCTAAACCATTCAATCAAGGAGGGACCAATACCATATAGAGAAAGTTTGTTAATGAGTTGCTTGTGATCAACCTTGTCGAATGCGCTGCTAAAGTCCGTGTATATGACATCGATCTCCAGACCCCTATCTACTTCTTTTATAAGATCAGAAGTAAAATTGCACAAATTAGTTTGTACTGACAATCCACTTCTGAATCCATGCTGCGAGCTGGTAAGAAAATGTTCAAGGTGCTTGGCAAAAGCTGGGTATACAAGACTTTCAAATAGTTTGGAAAAGCAAGAAAGAATTGATATAGGGCGATAATTATTTATATCCATGCGATCACCCTTTTTAAACACTGGAACTATTCGTGCTTTTTTCCATTCCTCAGGGAACATACCGTCTTCTAGGGAACGATTAAAAATAAGTGTCAATGGAAAAGCAATTTTTGGGCCACAACGTTTTACAAAAATGGGAGGGATACTATCTGGACCCGCACCTTTTTGAGTATCTAAAGTTTTAATTATTTTTAGGACATCTGTTTCAGAAATCTTCAACTTACTCAATTGCGTAACATTGCTTTTTTGTTTAAAGTTTGCCGTCATGATATTAGTTGTTTCGGTGTAAATGGATGAGAAATGGTTCGCAAAAAGATTGGCTATTTCCGTTCCAGACTTTGCAACTTTGTTATCCAATTTCATGGACGAGGGTAGAGATAACTCACCTTTCTTTTTATGTTTAAAGTATTTCCAAAAGTGTTTTGGGTTTTTTGAAATATCAGACTCTGCATTATGTTTAAAATCGTTAAAGCATGAAACAAAGAGTTTGTGACATCGACTGCGCAGTATTTGAAATTCTATATTATCTCTAGGGTTATTGTATTTGTGAAATTTATTGCGAACTTTTTCTTTCTCTGATAATAATTTAACCAAGCTACGTTTGAACCAGTTAGGATGTTTTGCTGAAATAGTCTTACGTTTAGGTACTGATAAATCGATAACTTCAAAGAGACGATTATAAAATACTTCAACCATAGCATCGACATCTTTGCATACAGAAAATTCATGCAACCAATCAATATTTTTAATTTTCTGAACAATAGTTTTATAATCAGCCTTAAAGTATCTGTAGTCGATACGACTTTTAGAACGAAGGAAAGAAATATGATCGTATTCTATACTTATTAACAAACTAGGATGGTATGAATCCAGTTTACTAAGTATTTCAGGAGGCTTTCGAACTATAATGTTTGTTAAATTACTTAGCACCAAGTCCAAAAGTTTACCATCACAGTTACTTATACAGTTATATTGATATAAATTATTAATACACATGAAGTCAACTAATGAGTATCCTAGAGCATTACAATAATTACATGGGGTCATATATGAATATTTATCACTAGCAGACCACTCAATAAAACCCATATTAAAGTCACCTATAACTACTAAATCATCAACGTGGTTGGTAACATTATCTACGCTATCTAAAAACTTGTTTAGATTTTCTAGTTTAACTGGTGGAGGCAAATAGACTACACAAAGTCCAATAGTTTTTGTGACATGGTTGTTATTGAATTTTAACACTATCCACATATTCTCTTCATCGGTTTCCCAATTTAGAATACGATAAGACGAGATCTCACGTGAAATGGCAATGAGAACACCTCCACCGTCCTTTTTGGATGCATCAAAACACACACGATCTTTTCTATAGACAACATAACGGGAATCAAATAGTTCATTATCAAAAATACTAGGCTTAAGCCAAGTCTCAGTAAATACAATAATTTTATAGTTCGAAATCAAGATATTCTTGTGCACATCATAGGTCTTAGTTCTCAAACCTCGCACGTTCTGATAATAGACTTCCAACACTGCAGAAATTCAGGAGCCATAACATTCACACATTTTCTTAACTTATATTATGAGCTTAAGACTATCTTCATTTTTAATTATTATTGCTTGACTAAATTCGTCTTTGCGTACGTAAACTTTTCCATTCCGAATCCATATGAAGCGATATTTCATTTCTTTGGATTTTATGCGCGCAGCGGCATGAAGGGATTTATTTCCTGGGGTTAAATGCTCTGAGACATATATTGGAACTCGAGATCCTCCAATTCCTAGATGGTGCGAGTTTAATTTATCTTCGGGATTTTTTTTATTAAATAGTGCAACAGCTGCTAGGATAGCATCTCTATGCTTCATGGTACGAAGCTTAACAATAACAGACCGAGGCTTATCGGCATTTTTATTCAGCTTAGCTACTCGGGTAACATATTGGATGTCATCTACTGACAGTGGATTTTTAACAGCTTGTCCTAACTGCACGATGGTGTTTACCAAGTTTTCCGCTTTGTGTTCGGGAATACCATTTACTTCAATGTTGCATTCTCTCATATGTGATTCGACGATATTTAACCGGGTTGTAAGGTCCTTGACTGATGCCTGAAGTTGGTTATTTTCTTTTTTTAAGTTGTTGATAATAGCGGACTTTTCTTCAATTGCAGATTTCATCTCTTCAAATTGCGCGTTAATGAACGACATAGATTCACGAAATCCGGCTATTTGTTCATTAATTGTACTAAGTTGTGTCGTAACAAGGTTTTGAATGGCTGTAGAAAGTTCTTGCTTAATAATGTCACGAAGATTCTTCTCCGTCAAGAAGTTACTACCATCATTGCTTTTTATCGATGCTGGTGCTGGTGACTCGTTATGTTTTTTACGTAAAGTGACGAATGTCTCTGGAGAGCATTCGTCAGTAGCTTTGCTGCATGTTTGGCTAGTGACAGCTGACCTAACAGGTGTGTGAGTGTTACCAGTTTTAGGTTGTTTAGTGCAACATTCTGGGCATTTCCAATTATTCCTCTTTTGCTTGTCCATTTGATCAAAGTGCCTGATAGGTATGTTTGCGCAAACGCAGTCATACTTCGATTTACAAATCAAGCAACTAAGAAATTCCTTTTTAGGTAAAGTATTTCTGCATCCGGGGCAAATATTAGAAATCAAAGCGGATGCCATTTCTATTACAATTACTTAGATTTAAAGTTGTAGAAATGAAAAAAAACTCGCCGGTGTTGGGAATCGATCGCACGTCGCTGCAATTAGGGCCTCACTATTCTATCTGCGCCACGGCGACGTTAGTGTAGTTTGCGAAAAGGTGAATCTATTTAGAGTGAGTATAGCGACAAATTATTAACTGCCTGTAGGTAGTACACAAACAATAGTTTTCAATATTAACTGTTAAGGCCTTGAGTATTCACAAATTATTTTATTTTAAAAAGGTTCACTTCATTAACTTTTGAGGCTTGTTTTTTTATTTAGGAACACTGATCACACGTTTACCTTCTCTCTCACACTATGAAATATTACATAAAAGTATATTTTTAAATTAAAGTTCAAAGTTACTGTGTTAACACCAGATCTTTAAAACTACGTTACAACCTTGCAGAATTATATGGACACAGGACTATTGTAGCTTAAAAACTGTTTCAGTATTACTTTTGATAGCTATTTCAAACTTTTATGATTAAAAAATAAATTTGTAACACAGATATATGTTGCACGACACGTTTGACGTTAACGAAGGTTAGTCAGTTCTTACCATCCGTCAAGTGCAATATTCCTCTACAAGATGCAGGAGTATACAAGCTTGATTGTGAGTGTGGTCTCTCATATATAGGGCAAACAAAACGATCAATAAAAACCCGCGTAAAAGAACACATAGCTGACGTGAAGCACCAACGTTCGGGGAAGTCTGCAGTTTGTGATCATATCCTAGACGGCCCCCGTCATTACATTAGATTTGATAAACCACAAGTCCTCGCGAAAGAACATCGATTCCTGCCAAGGATGATACGTGAGGCTATTGAAATTAAAAAACATCCTAATTTCAATAGAGAGGGAGGCTGGGTACTACCACCTGCTTGGGATCCTGTAATTCATAAAATTAAAACTAAACCCAAGCATACCACTGTAAGACTTCAAGACACAGTTAGTTCATTCTGCGTAGATCGGACCAAAATTAATAATTAAAAAGCTGAAGGTACTCCGGGTTAACTTTGACATCGGGACGTCAATCACCTCAGTCCCCCGTGACCACGGTTGCTGGAAAGCAACCGAAACGTCGGGAATATAAAATAAGTAAATTAAACGCGATAAAATCCGTAAAAATAGTTTTATTCAACAAGTGTCAATACCTGGCAATCATTATTCAGCAATACAATTACATTTACTTATCCGCGGCAAAATTGCAAATATTTGCGAACAGAAAACAAATGAACATTAAATTACTGCATGACATAAACACTGTTTGTTTTGTTAGTGGCAAAACGAACATGTTTGTGAAATTGTCTATTTGATAACATTGTGAGAAAATAATTAAACGAATAGTAAAACTGCACAATATTTTACATGGTAGAGCCATGTTGCAGCTATATTAGTAGTAGATATATTTGTAGCACGAATAAGTCGGCTCGACCGGGGAAGGACCACGCTCTCACAGAATACCAACGTAAAATAGTAGCTTAACGCTGCTGTGTTTCGTATGGCGAGTGTAGAGAACCAGTTATCTAGAGACCCTTTTTACTGGAAACGAGGCATTACATCTTAGTCTTCACGGGTGACAACGCATCTGCATTTTGATTCGTAATCGAGAATAAATGTAGATGTCTATGGGCCGCGGCACCCCTTACCATCAGGTGGATTGTGTGCTCGTTTGTCACCATGATCCTATAAAAAAAGTCACAAGTGATTTTTTATAGGATAAAGGTGACAAGAGAGCACACAGTCTACCTGATGGTAAGTGGTTGCTGTGGCCCATAGACATCTACATCTATCCTCGTTTGCAAAATGCAAACGCATTGTCAGCCGCGAGGACGAAGATGGAATGCCTCTTTTCAGAAAAGGATATCCGATAGTACCCACAGAATACCAGCGAAAAATAGCAGCTATATCCTGCTGTGTTTCATATGGTAAGTGAGGACAAACGGAGACCATTTTTACTTGTACAGAAGGATATCACTTAACAAACTTAAGCAACGAAATGTACTGATGGACCATGGCATCCATATTCATAGAGATAGACTGGACTCTGTAGTCGTTTGTCGCCGTAACTTCTCTTTAAGACATCATCATTCATTCATTACAACCTGTCAACCTGTCAAGTTGAACATAGACCTAGATTCTTATATAATGGGAACTCTAACCACAGTTGCCACGCCTGACAGGTGGGTTGGCTCCCGCAGTTTTTTTATTATTCTGAGTTGTTGTCATTAAGATGTCGCTACTCATCTTTTATTTCAGTTTTCCTCTATTGTCTCTTAAGATACCGATGGAATCATATGGCGAAGGGGATTCCCTTACGCGGCCACTACACGACATATTTATCATACGAAATGTTACAAGCGAGATACGAACCTATAACCTCTAGTGTAGCAGAAAGGGTCACTCAACCATCAAGTCGCTAATGCTACAATAAAAGTCGAGGCACGTAATTTTGTAAAAGTATATTAATGTGTAATGAAGGTTTCGTTATTTTATTAAATGACACTTCGGGTTAACTCCTCATAAAAGATAATGTATACAGTGTACATAACACGAGAACAAGCTCAGAGCTAACATTAAATACGACGCAATAACCCTTCGTGAAAATTTATATTGCTCGGTTATTGTCATTGAACGATCGTGTGACTTTAGACGCCCGTTTATTTCTAACCGTACAAATTGAAATTAATAGAACAAAAGATTATACGTACTCGTATTTAAAAGACCCACGGTAGAATGTATTATGGGTAAACAAGAATCGGTCGGCTTGAACGGGGAAGGACCTCTTAGGCCGTATATGGAGAAAACCTTATATATTATGTAATTTAAACTTGAGTGTAGGCCATGCTATTGTATTAAAACAAATTTGGACATTATGAAATTTTAGTTTGAACTCAAAATTGTCTCTGAATATTGGTCTTTAGTCCTCTGGGGTGACAACGCATATGCATTTTGATTCTTTTTCGAGGATATGTATAATATGTGGATTGGTATGGGCCACTGCATTCACTTACTATTGAGTGTATGTTCTTTTGTTACCCTTGTTTCTATAAAAATGTCAAATGTACTTTAGAGTAATAAATTCCAAAATGTGCAAACTAGAAATTAATACAGCATTTCATTTGCAGTCCAACCATATCAGGCTTCTGCTTTCACGAATGAATTTATTAATGTAAAAATTGGCTTTAAATTAAAAAAATTAAATCTTGTGTTGACATATTATCGCCTTGCTGCTGTAGCAGAGTTAAACGCGCAGCACAAACTTCTGCCGTTTGGTGTAGAAACCCTTGAACTGTGGGAACCTGACGTGGACACGACGTTTGCACAGATATATATCG